CTGCACTACCACTTTCAATGTTAACTCCTGCACTACCACTTTCACTGTTGCCTCCTTCACTTCCACTTTCACTGTTGTCTCCTGCATTACCACTTTCACTGTTGCCACCTACACTACCACTTTCCCTGTTACCTCTTGCACTACCACTTTCACTGTTGCCTCCTGCAGTACCACTTTCACTGTTGCCACTTGTACTACCACTTTCACTGTTACCTCCTGCAGTACCGCTTTCACTGATACCTCCTGCACTATCACCTTCACTGTTACCTCCAGCACTACCAGTTTTACTGTTACCTCCTGCAGTACCACTTTCACTGTTGCCTCCTGCACTACCACTTTCACTGTTACCTCCCGCAGTGCCACTTTCACTGTTGCCTCCTGCACTACCAGTTTCCCTATTTCCACCTGCACTACCACTTTCACTGTTTCCGCGTGCACTACCACTTTCTCTGTTTCCTCCTGCACTACCACTTTCACTGTTGCCACCTGCACTACCACTTTCACTGTTTGCTCCTGCACTACCACTTTCACTGTTGCCACCTGCACTACTACTTTCCCTATTTCCACCTGCACTACCACTTTCACTGTTGTCTTCTGCACTACCACTTTCACTGTTTCCACCTGCACTACCACTTTCTCTCTTGTCTCCTGCACTACCACTTTCACTGTTGTCTCCTGCACTACCACTTTCACTGTTGTCTCCTGCACTACCTCTTTCACGGTTGTCTCCTGCACTACCACTTTCACTGTTGCCACCTGCACTACCACTTTCACTGTTCCCACCTGCACTACCACTTTCAATTCTTTATCCCTTCCACTCACTTTCACTGCTGCCTCCTCCTTCTTCACTTCATCTTCCTAGTGCTACCATGACTCACCCTCTGCTCTGCCTCCACCAGCACACTCACGGAGCCTGGTAAGCAGACTGAGGACTGCTGCCAGACACTTACTAGCGGCAAGAAGAAAGATGACATCATGAGAGAGGCACCTTGGAATGTTTTCCCACCAATATAAGACAATCTGGCACAAGTTATGTTGTCAACCAAGAAATGAAGTCGCTTCTCCCCTGACGATGTATTAAAGTTGATGCGAAGTCTGACTCCTCCGCCAGGAATCCTCTCCATGATGATAGACTATTCAGTTTATGGAATAAAGTATTAAGCCCTTCGTGAGTCTGTCAGACCTTGTCTACCTTCTGGCCTCTTCTCTAGTCCTGGTCAATGGAGTTTATCTTCGTTTCTCCCGTCTTCTAACATTCTTTGCGAATTATTTTGTTCTGGCATGAGTAGGTCGACCCACCAGTACTTACAATGGGTAGGTCGACGCACCAGTACTTACAATGGGTAGGTCGACCCACCAGTACTTACAATGGGTAGGTCGACCCACCAGTACTTACAATGAGTAGGTTGACCCACCAGTGCTTAAATCGGTCGACTCATCAGTACTTATAATGAGTAGGTTGACCCACCAGTACTTAAGTCGGTCGACGAACCAGTACTTACAATGAGTAGATCGACCCACCAGTACTTACAATGGGTAGGTCGACCCACAGTACTTACAATGAGTAGGTTGACCCACCAGTACTTAAGTCGGTCGACTCACCAGTACTTACAATGAGTCGGTCGACCCACGAGTACTTACAAGGAGTCGGTCGACCCACCAGTATTTACAATGAGTAGGTTGACCCACCAGTACTTACAATGAGTCGGTCGACGAACCAGTACTTACAATGAGTCGGTCGACCCACGAGTACTTACAATGAGTCGGTCGACCCACCATATTACAATAGTTTTGACCCACAGTACTTACATGAGTAAGGTCGACTCACCAGTACTTACAAAAACCAACGTAATAACACAAAGTGTTCGAACCCAACAATTACAATTCGCCGACTATACAAAGGTAGCGACACCAAACTTAACCTGACGTTACCAATAATAAGGTCCGAAACCAACCATAATCCACAAAGTGGTAACCACAACTAAATGAAGTCACACACATACATAAAAACCTAAAAACAATGACTAGAGCCCAGTTAAAGTAAGTGTGAACAGCCGATTAATCAATGATGAAGAAGAACCACAAGTCAAGAGTACAGCAAACCAAGGATCAAGAGCCACAACCAGGAGAACAGTCAAACCCAACCAGTCATACAAGCATAGAAAAGACCTGATAAACAAGCCAAACGAAATAACGTTCAAATAGACAAGTTCAAAAATAAGCATTAACACATAGTCACAACATGTAAACAGTCAAACTATAATACCAAGAGAGTAGAGAGCAAGAGGTCAAGTAGCACAAGAAGGGAAGCCAGAGAGATGCCAGGCAAAGGACCAGGACAAAGTTCAGCAGTGAAGAGAATGCATAAGCCAGAAAGGTGGCAGAAAGATGAGCAAGTAGTGCGAACTAATGCAGATGCAGTATCCAGTTGCCAAATGAATTAAGAAATGACAGCATGAGTACAAGCAAGTTGTAGAAGCTGCAATTATCTGAAATACACAGTGATAGGCAAATAAGCATGGAAGCAAATAGCAGGAATAAGTATTATTCAAAATAATAATATTAATATAGATAGCACAGTAGAACAAATAGATAGGAAAGTAGAATGCCAGGTAAGGCTAGTGGCCAAAGTAGATGACAAATAATCTATGAAGTGATGCTGAGGAAAAGGAATGTTGCATATAGGTAGATATACAAGGATCCAGAATTATGCACAAGTAGATATCTATAAAATGTTTAAAAATAATACATATTTTCAAAATTATACTAGACAATATTAAGTTGAATAGATATATATTTTCAAAAGTTAAATTATAATTTTTTATAATAGTTCTTACAATAATTTACATAATAAGTTATCATGGTTCAGTGAATAGTGCTCCCCGCAAGCCGGTATTTAATGCAATAAATGGTAGTTCCAATCTGAACTGGAAGGGTCGGGAAAAAATTTTAAAAAAAAATTCCAAAAATTTTTTCCCAAAAGGTTGTGGACCGGTGAGCTAGCGGGTTTGGTTGGGTTTGTCAGGAAAGAAGACAAGTGTTTCCTGACGCGAGTCTCAGTTATATGATGACCCGCAGCTGCAGCTTTTGATCATTTGATAGGGGCCTTCCGCTGGCTTACCGGTCCACCCCTCCAAATAATATGGTTACGATTATAACCACAAGATTTCTCTTTTAAGCCAGCAGAAACCTCTGTCAAATCACCAGAACCTCCAGCTACAGATTATCATATGATTAAGACCGCGTCAGGAAATACTTGTCGTGTTTCCTGACGAACATAACCTCACAGACCGGGCCGCGGGGGCGTTGACCCCCGGAACTCTCTCCAGGTAAACGCCACAGTGCTCATCTTTTCTTTATACAACATAGTAACCCACCTTCTCCCATCTAATAATCTGTTTCCTCAGTATACTAGTATCTACTATTCCTACAACAGTAACTACATGAATAACGAGGCTCACAGAACTTGGGATCTTTATTAACGAAATGTGTCGCCCGTACAGCCCACTTCAGCTGAATACACGTGAGAACAGCACTGATAGCAGTAGAACTACGTATTAATGTGATTAATCCATCACTCTCGGTGGGAGGCAGTCAGTCCCTCATACTTAAAGCATACGCAAGCGGCCTAGTGAAGCAGCTGCAGCTGAGGTCAGAGGTGAGCGAGGCCCACCAGTGCAAGTAGGTTACGCCAAAGATTTGTTTAAGAAAGGATTATGAAAGGTGGTGTTTCTGTGTCAAAGAAGAAGAATATTACTGTTTTATACTACTACCTCTACTATTACTACTACTACTACTACTACTACTACTGCTACTACTACTACTACTACTACTACTACTACTACTACTACTACTACTACTACTACTACTACTACTACTACTACTACTACTACTACAAATAATATTACTACTATAAATACTACTACTGCTACTACAAGTACAACTACTACAATAATTGCTACTAGTACTGCAACTACAACTACTACAGCTACTTGTACTACTACTAGTAGTAGTACAACTAGTAGTAGTAGTACTACTACTGTTACTACTACTATAATAACTACAACAATTACGACTATTCTACTACAGTAACTACAGCAGTTACAACTATTGCTACTATAACAACTACTACTACAACAACTACTGCTACTTGTACTTCTACTACTGCTACTGCTAGTACTACTATTTGTACTACTATTGGTACTAATACTAGAACTAGTATTATTACAACTGCTGCTATTACTACTACTACTACTAGTACTATTACTACTGCTGCTACTACTAGTACTATTACTATTGCTGCTACTACTAGTAGTAGCACTACTACGAAAACTACTGCTACTATTACTACTAACACTACTACTATTATTACTACTACTGTAAATACTGCTACTTTATTATGACTACTATTGTCACTACTACTACTACTACTGCTGCTAGTACTATTACTACTGCTACTACTGCTACTGCTACTACTACTACTACTACTAAAGCTGCTACTACTGCTATTACTAGTACTACTACTACTACTACTACTACTTCTACTACTACTACTACTACTACTGCTGCTGCTGCTGCTGCTACTACTAATGCTACTACTGCTACTACTACTACTACTACTGCTACTACTGCTACTACTGCTATTACTGCTACTACTACTGCTACTACTGCTACTACTGCTATTACTAGTACTACTACTACTGCTACTACTGCTGCTACTACTACTGCTACTGCTGCTACTACTGCTACTACTACTACTACTGCTACTACTGCTATTACTAGTACTACTACTATTGCTACTGCTACTACTACTACTACTACTGCTGCTACTACTACTGCTACTACTGCTACTACTACTGCTACTACTACTACTACTACTACAGCTACTACTGCTATTACTAGTACTACTACTACTGCTACTACTACTACTACTGCTGTTACTACTACTGCTACTGCTACTACTACTACAACTACTACTACCACTGCTGCTACTACTACTACTAACTACTACTACTACTACTACTACTACTACTACTACTGCTACTACTATTGCTACTACTACTACTGCTACTACTACTACTACTACTACTGCTACTACTACTACTACTGCTACTACTACTACTACTACTACTGCTACTACTACTACTACTACTGCTACTACTACTACTACTACTGCTGCTACTACTACTACTACTACTACTACTACTACTACTACTACTACTACTACTACTACTACTACTACTACTACTACTACTACTGCTACTACTACTACTACTGCTACTACTACTGCTACTACTACTACTACTGCTACTACTACTACTACTACTACTACTGCTACTACTACTACTACTACTGCTACAACTACTGCTACTACTACTACTACTCCTACTACTTATACTGCTACTGCCACTGCTGCTACTACTACTACTACTCCTACTTGTACTACTACTACTACTCCTACTACTTATACTACTACTACTACTACTACTTCTACAACTACAACTCCTACTACTTATACTACTACTACTACAACTACTACTACTACTACTACTTCTACAACTACAACTCCTACTACTTATACTACTACTACTACTACTCCTACTACTTATACTACTACTACTACTACTACTACTACTACTACTACTACTACTACTACTATTTCTACAACTACAACTCTTACTACTTATACTTATACTACTACTACTACTACTACTACAACTACAACTCTTACTACTTATACTTATACTACTACTACAACTCCTACTACTTATACTTCTACTACTACTAGTACTACTACAACTACAACTCCTACTACATATGCTTATACTACTACTACTACTACTACTACTACAACTACAACTCCTACTACTTATACTTCTACTATTACTACTACTACAACTCCTACTTATACTGCTACTACTAATGCTGCTGCTACTACTACTGCTGCTGCTACTACTACTACTGCTGCTACTACTACTACTGCTGCTACTACTACTACTGCTGCTACTACTACTACTGCTGCTACTACTCGCACTGCAACACACTGCTCGTTATGGAAGCCCCTGATTAAAAACTTCAGATCCTCCATTTCCTCCCTTAGCTGTCCCTTCCCTATAATACTGACGCAATCTATCCTCATAATAATTCAGTAACCCGTATCTTATAGTATTAAGCCTCCTACCTTCCCCCACATCAAACTTAAGGATCGCAAGTGTCTCCACCTCGTCTCACCAACCCCTCCTAACTACCTGGATATTTATTTACCTCCCGCCATCCCTTAAAACCCACTACTGCTTCCTCGTCTCCTAACACCTTAGTAATTAATTTCCAGTAACCCCTGTGCCTGGCTACCAGTGCATCCCACCCCCACCTCTGTCAGAACTGTCAGCTGTTCTGACAATGCAGCTGCCACGGTCCTTACCCAACGCACTGTAACGGATGATTTAATATAAATGCTATCCAGTCTTGCCCCATTTTCCCCTCATCACATACATGTGGGCTGGTGCCACCTCTGACACACAACACACATTCAGCAAGTGTACATCGCGTAACAACTCGGTCAAAACCGGGGAATAATGCCCCGCCCCTCATGGGGTTACATCCTTTTTCCTAACCGCACAATTCCAGTCCCTCCCTACAAATGATAAGACCGGCAATAACATAAGGAAAAATCTAAATCTTTCTTAATAAATTTTTTTTAATCTTCACATTCCCCAACCGCTGACGAATACAGATGAATGAGAGAGAGGGGGGAATTCTGCCAAGTTCCATCCACACGTATAATGCGACCATCTCCTTCATTTTCACCATGATGATACACAAACGGGCATGACTTCCTCACCAAGAGGGCCACACCCCGTTTTAAACAAACATTAGGCAACGTATACACCATATAACCTGGGATCTCCAGACCCCATGCATCTCTAAGGGTTATATTCTTGCAAAAAAAACTACGTTTACCCTATACCTGCCAATGAACCCCGCAAGCCAATGCTCTTTTCCTACCACACATAGTTCATTAACATTAATAATCATAAATCTTAGGCCTAGGTAAAAGGTGGTTTGTCTCGCTGACAGACTCGACCCTTAGCGCTGTCAGTAATACCCTTATTACCTACTTTAAAACTGATCAAATTCCCTGGTTTCGTGGGCCCTGTGGCACTGTGAGGCTTCATCCTCACAACCCAGAACCACTGCACATCTCTGCTCATGACTTTTCACCAGGCCGTTGCGCTGGTGTTAAAACATCATCCGAATCTGATGCTGTTGCTGCTCATTTCTGGGCGTGCGTGTCCTACACTTCACATTTCAAGCGGTGCATCCTGATGCACATTCGCATCCGCCTCCTGGGACTCACTGCTCACCACAAGAGCAAGGGACGGTTCCGCTCTTCTCACTGCAGCCTCTTCATACGATTGGGCCTTAGGCTCCTCTTCAGTTATTGGTGACACTCCTTCTGATTGAGGGGCAAATATGTCCATTAATACATTTTCCGACTCGTCCCCCAGGGCATGCTTGAGCCCTATCATACAACACAGTAAGAGGCCCTTCTGTCTGCATCCACAAGTGCAACACTCTCCTGCTCGATGTCGTTGGTCTCTCGAACTTCATGGACTGGAAACATGCCCCTTGGCCTTGATGCTCGCTCCTTCTCTGAATAGTCCGTCCTGTGTGCACACTGTTGGTTCTTCCTACGAAGACACTCGACAGCCATATGACCACACCTTTCGCGTTGCTGATCAGCATAGGATACTATTACCATGCGATCCGAAGTCCAACAGGATTACATAGGACGGCACGGGGTACTTTAGCGACATCTTGAGAGTACGTTCCTTCCGGTAATCCAGCGTAAACACCAGTCACCCGTATACCTTGTTGGGCCACATGTATGATTCCATATTTAGAGAATACATGATGTAGGTCTGCTTCAACAACTTCAAAAGACACATTGCGAAATTTGACCCATGTGTGTTTGTTCGACATGTCAGTGAGGTGCACTCTGACGTCTTCATTAACCTCCATTACTGTATTTTGGTACTTGACTACCTCCTCATACTCCAGGAACTTCACAAACAAGCGAGTGGCCCCATTTAGTGCTACACCATAGAGCTCCTCATCATCTATCCCATGTGTGTTCCTGATGATGTCTGGTAACAACACATCAGGTGTTATGGCCACCTTCAGCAGCTCTATGGCCACTGTATTAATTAACACGCCTCCTCAGACCCTCTATCACGGTGCACACTGACCAGTCACACAGTGAAGGTTGGGGAGTTCCAGGCGCACGTCCGCCCTTGTCGTTGTCAAAGCGGCGAATAATAATCATAATAAATATAATAATCACGATTAATGATATTGATTAATACCAAGTAAAATATTAATTAATATTTAAGCGATAAATATCATCCCAACTTCGAATGATGATAAAGAAATATATAAAATGATAGGACAATATACACAGAAAACAGTATTTTAGATTTACAGAGAAACAGACAAATTATACATTTTAATAATTACACAAATACTCTTTTGTACTTAACATTATGTGCCCTTTGACAAGAATGTATGGATGAGGCTTTTTGATGAGGCTGGATGAAATCTTAGACAATTACGAACGTCAGAACACTTACCAAAACTTATTATTGGTAAAAATATAATTATTAATTCCGCGGCCAGAACAATTTATAACTAAATGAAAGCTGAAGATAAATCTGCAAGTGATGATACAATCTGTTGTTGACCACCATCACTGTGGACAGTCAGTTGTTGACCACCATCACTCTGGACAGTCTGTTGTTGACCACCATCACTGTGGACAGTCTGTTGTTGACCACCATCACTGTGGACAGTCTGTTGTTGACCAACATCACTGTGGACAGTCTGTTGTTGACCACCATCACTCTGGACAGTCTGTTGTTGACCACCATCACTGTGGACAGTCTGTTGTTGACCACCATCACTGTGGACAGTCTGTTGTTGACCACCATCACTGTGGACAGTCTGTTGTTGACCACCATCACTCTGGACAGTCTGTTGTTGACCACCATCACTGTGGACAGTCTGTTGTTGACCACCATCACTCTGGACAGTCTGTTGTTGACCACCATCACTGTGGACAGTCTGTTGTTGACCACCATCACTCTGGACATTCTGTTGTTGACCACCATCACTCTGGACAGTCTGTTGTTGACCACCATCACTGTGGACAGTCTGTTGTTGACCACCATCACTCTGGACAGTCTGTTGTTGACCACCATCACTCTGGACAGTCTGTTGTTGACCACCATCACTGTGGACAGTTTGTTGTTGACCACTATCACTGTGGACAGTCTGTTGTTGACCACCATCACTGTGGACAGTCTGTTGTTGACCACCATCACTCTGGACATTCTGTTGTTGACCACCATCACTCTGGACAGTCTGTTGTTGACCACCATCACTGTGGACAGTCTGTTGTTGACCACCATCACTCTGGACAGTCTGTTGTTGACCACCATCACTCTGCACAGTCTGTTGTTGACCACCATTACTCTGGACAGTCTGTTGTTGACCACCATCACTCTGGGCAGTCTGTTGTTGACCACCATCACTCTGGACAGTCTGTTGTTGACCACCATCACTGTGGGTATTCTGTTGTTGACCACCATCACTGTGGACAGTCTGTTGTTGACCACCATCACTGTGGACAGTCTGTTGTTGACCACCATCACCCTGGACAGTCTGTTGTTGACCAACATCACTCTGGACAGTCTGTTGTTGACCACCATCACTGAGTATTCTGTTGTTGACCACCATCACTGTGGACAGTCTGTTGTTGACCACCATCACTGTGGACAGTCTGTTGTTGACCACCATCACTCTGGACAGTCTGTTGTTGACCACCATCACTCTGGACAGTCTGTTGTTGACCACCATCACTCTGGACAGTCTGTTGTTGACCACCATCACTGTGAGTATTCTGTTGTTGACCACCATCACTCTGGACAGTCTGTTGTTGACCACCATTACTCTGGACAGTCTGTTGTTGACCACCATCACTGTGGACAGTCTGTTGTTGACCACCATCACTCTGGACAGTCTGTTGTTGACCACCATCACTCTGGACAGTCTGTTGTTGACCACCATCACTCTGGACAGTCTGTTGTTGACCACCATCACTCTGGACAATCTGTTGTTGACCACCATCACTCTGGACAGTCTGTTGTTGACCACCATCACTCTGGACAGTCTGTTGTCGACCACCATCACTGTGGACAGTCTGTTGTTGACCACCATCACTCTGGACATTCTGTTGTTGACCACCATCACTCTGGACAGTCTGTTGTTGACAACCATCACTCTGGACAGTCTGTTGTTGACCGCCATCACTGTGGACAGTCTGTTGTTGACCACCATCACTCTGGACAGTCTGTTGCTGACCACCATCACTGTGGACAGTCTGTTGTTGACCACCATCACTGTGGACAGTCTGTTGTTGACCACCATCACTCTGGGCAGTCTGTTGTTGACCACCATCACTCTGGAAAGTCTGTTGTTGACCACCATCACTGTGGACAGTCTGTTGTTGACCACCATCACTCTGGACAATCTGTTGTTGACCACCATCACTCTGGACAGCCTGTTGTTGTTCACCATCACTCTGGACAATCTGTTGTTGACCACCATCCCTCTGGACAGTCCTTCTTAACTGAACGATGGTCAGCGGTCCATCGTGGACCATACAACGGACCGTAATGTTATCTAAAGTTTTAGTCCAGTTTGTGAGTTACTTAAGAATTAATGTTAGAGTTTAAAGCTTCCTCGTTACCCAGGACACTGTTTTTTCCTCCACTGTAGTCAGGAAATAGTCTTTGTGATGCATATCTCTGTTCGCTTAGGAGTTACCAGACTGTTGTGGGTTGTATCCTGCGTGGGGGGGAGGGGTGAAGAACCTATGAGAACCCCAAAAAAGGGAATTAAAAAACACTTCCTTTCTGGGGGATATCCGGGAAATGACTTTATCTTTGTATAGGTTAATTGTTTTGGTAGCAAAATATATCTTGTATACTGAGCCACTTGTGTAACTTGAGGCGGAATGTTCACTAAATACCGTGCGTCGAGGCATTCACTAAATATCATTCGTCGAGGCTTTTACTAAATATCGTTCGTCGAGGCGCTCACTAAACATCGTTCGTCGAGGCGTTTACTAAATATCGTTCGTCGAGGCGCTCACTAAACATCGTTCGTCGAGGCGTTTACTAAATATCATTTGTCGAGGCGTTTACTAAATATCGTTCGTCGAGGCGCTCACTAAACATCGTTCATCGAGGCGTTTACTAAATATCGTTCGTCGAGGCGTTCACTAAATATCGTTCATCGAGGCGTTTACTAAATATCGTTCGTCAAGGCTTTCACTAAATATCGTGCATAGAGACGTTCACTAAATATCGTGCATCGAGGCGTTTACTAAATATCGTTCGTCGAGGCGTTCACTAAATATCGTGCATAGAGACGTTCACTAAATATCGTGCATCGAAGCGTTTACTAAATATCGTTCGTCGAGGCGTTCACTAAATATCGTGCACAGAGACGTTTACTAAATATCGTGCGTCGAGACGTTCACTAAACATCGTGCATTAAGGCGTTCACTAAATATCGTGCGTAGAGACGTTCACTAAATATCGTGTGTCGAGGCATTCACTAAATATCGTGCGTCGAGACGTTCACTAAATATTATGCATAGAGACGTTCACTAAATATCGTGCATCGAGGCGTTTACTAAATATTGTGCATAGAGACGTTCACTAAATATCGTGCGTTGAGGCGTTCAGTAAATATCGTACGTAGAGACGTTCAGTAAATATCGTGCGTAGAGACGTTCACTAAATATCGTGCATCGAGGCGTTTACTAAATATCGTGCGTAAAGACGCTCATTAAATATCGTGCGTAGAGACGTTCACTAAATATCGTGCATCGAGGCGTTCAGTAAATATCGTATGTAGAGACGTTCATTAAATATCGTGCGTAGAGACGTCCACTAAATATCGTGCATCGAGGCGTTCAGTAAATATCGTATGTAGAGACGTTCATTAAATATCGTGCATAGAGACGTCCGCTAAATATCGTGCATTGAGGCGTTCAGTAAATATCGTGCGTAGAGACGTCCGCTAAATATCGTGCATCGAGGCGTTCAGTAAATATCGTATGTAGAGACGTTCACTAAATATCGTACGTAGAGACGTTCACTAAATATCGTGCATAGAGACGTTCACTAAATATCGTGCGTCGAGGCGTTCACTAAATATCGTGCATCGAGACGTTCACTAAATATTGTGCGTAGAGACGTTCACTAAATATCGTGCATCGAGGTGTTCACTAAATATTGTGCGTAGAGACGTTCACTAAATATTGTGCATCGAGGTGTTCACTAAATATCGTGCGGTGAGACGTTCACTAAATGTTGAGGGACAAGACATTCATGACCGTCATTAAGTATCTTGGGTCGAGACGTTCACTAGATGGGCCCTGCCGTTCATTCAGTAACTTTGG